CCACTCCACTTATTAATGTGGATGTAGCCTAAACCACGCAAGGAAACCTTCAGCTCTTCCCACAGGACAAATACCTTCCAAGATATAAACCCATGGTCACCAAACTTCTGCTGCACCAAACCTATAACGATGCTCTATGCTTTTTTGTCAATACCAAGACACTGGGCTACACTGACATTGAATCCAACAGCCAATCAAGTACAAGTTCATTTATGAAGCTACTGCTATTTCCCTATGAAACATAAGCATTAGATCTGATAAGGTAAGAAGAAGCTCAAAGAACAACTTCTTGAATGTAAATCCGGAAGAACAGGATACAGGAAGGGTAATGGCAAATGTTTTCTGTAAGCAGATGAAAAATAATGAATGTTTTCTCTCTTGGCAGAGGATTTTCTCTGCAGTTTGTGCATCAGGACAATAACAGGTTGCTTCTCGTACACCGATTACTTGAGACAGATGTCAAAATAGAGGGGAGGAAAAAGAAATGCCAGCTCAAGTAAGGAAAAAGTCAATCCAATCCATATTTTTCTTGTCTATCTCTGTCAAAAGGTGAGACACAGCAAGTGAATAAAAAACCCAACACATCAAAATAAACCCTGTGTTCTCTGTTGTAGCTGTACAACCAGGCCATGAACCTGGCATCAATCACAGCCTTTGGCATTGGTGCTCTTCTCCTGAGGTAGTTACAAGATCTAGATAAAGAATTTATTAACAAAAGGCACTATGCCACAGCAGTACAAAGCCAAAGAGATGAGGGTCCCTTGCTGACATCAATTCGTTTCTAGAGGTCAACAAAGCAAAACACACCAGCTAAATACGTAGCTCTCCTGCTTACCCACTGCACAAGCAACAGGAAACATGCTCCCTGCTACATTTATCAACTCTAACAGCTATAACTAGATTCATTCTCCATAATTTTGTATTAAATTTGTACCTGCTGCAACCAAAAAGGACAGCTGGACAATTTCGTCCACAGAAAGCTGTTAGCAGCCTTTTCCAGCTTTCAAGTAAACTTTCCTGGTCCTTTTCAGAAAGCACTGACACAGTGGAAATTCCCCTCCCGATTTCTATGAAGATTCTTACTTAAGACAGACAAGTTTTCCCAGTAAGCTATTAGAAACTGCTCATGTAATGAAACAGGCTGTGAGTCCTCCCTCTCCTCCAGGCCTTTTACAATGAAATTTTTCTTGGAAAGCCATGAGAATTGGTATTTTGGGTGAATATAAATGATACATTTTTACACTGAGTTTTAGCTCTGAACTCACACAAGCACAACATGGGAAACTATGCTCAACAGTCACCTACATGCTATTGAGAATCTACAGACAGATAACCTGCCACTCTGTATGCTCAGCTTTCAGTAGCTAATTCTGTAGTTCTCTTGATATATAAACAAAAGTTACCTTGATCATAAACAAAAATCTGAGACATTCAGAAGCTGAAATCTAGTGTTTTAATCCTCAAGGATCATTCTGTCTACACTTCCTATTTTCAAGCCCATGCTCTAGTTCTGAATCAGTATATTTCAGGGAATTGCATCATTCACAGGCCATGTTCTCACCATGGATCCTGATAACAATTTTAAGACTCATTAAGTCTTGGTCCCTCTTTATAGTATAGCATTTTCTTCATGGCCCAAAATGTTTCCTTTCCTCTGGGAAAAAAGGACCTGTTTTATGATCTATTCCTGACACAGCAGATCAGTGATAGGAACACAGGAAACCCAGGTCTAACCTACCAGAAGAGACTGGCTGCATAAGAAGAAAAAAATCTCACATATCTCTGAATTTTCCTGCTTATAAATCATCTCATGCAGGACTCTAGCAGGAACAAAGACAACATTTACCACCACCCCTTCCCTAGTGACAAGGGGATATTATCTGCACCTTGCCCCCCCTCCCACTTCTGAATCCTTTTGTAAATAAGATGCTATATCTTTGCTTGTTACAGTTAGTTAAGTAGTTCTGCACACAGCAACTTCTCCCAAGCCATTTAGTATAACAGCCTTATCTGCAAGAGCCAGCTTTGGCTTTGTAAGGAAAATAATCAGGTTATATTCACTTAGTTCCACTTCAATTTGAAGAGCATTGACTCAATATGTGTGAATGTAAAAGTGTTTCACAAACACAACTGTGTTCATGGATCTGTGTATTGTTTTTTTATGTATTGACTTCAACTGCTCGTAAGTGCTCTACATAGTAGAGCATTGTGGGATTTTTTAATAAACATTTCCTCTATCAAATAAATGGAACCAAATTGGTGTTCGTGCAGGCATAATTTGTCCAAGTAAAGCTCACTTAAGCAGTATTTCTTCTGTAAGTAATGAATTCACACCTTAATCACTCTATTTCTGCAACCAAGTGCTCAGGTAAGTGCTCCCACCACAAGAGACTGTTGTACCAGGAGTTCATTTTGCATCTTCCTGCCTTCAACTACATAGCACAGGGACTTGGGCTGTCCCAACCAGTGGGAGTTTGAGCAAGATCAAACACCAAGGAAGAGATCTGTGCCGCACTGCTGCTCTGACTTTATTTTCCCCCATCTTTTGAAGTGAAGCAGGAACTTTTTCTTTGAGCAAGAGAACCTGAAATGTACTCACAGTCCTTCCTGAACACAACTTCAAATACAAATGCCAATTTCCAGGCTCTGATAGAAAGACAAGAACTACAAACCAACCTCCCTTTGTACAAAAAACATAGCAACAAATTTCAAGAGCAAAAGCAGATGCTGTTCTTGTCCTCTTGAGTCTAGTCCACAAACATTAAACCTATTTTGTTGTTTGCTTTTCAAAATAGAGGGAAGGCATGCTGCTTCTCACTCAACTGGCAGCTGCAGCACCTCTTTATACAACAGCCCCTTTCTCTATATAGATCACAATTTCATTGACTTTCATTTCCTAAGCATACCCACTCTAAACTTTATTCCCCTCCTCCCCATAATACAAAACCACTTTTCTGTTGAATCAAATCTATACAAAATGTCAGGAAACAGCACCACACACTGACAATGTGGAGGTAATTAACAAACACTGACTTACATGCTGTTTTCACAGAGCCCTTATACTCCCAAAAATGAAGGTAATATACTTATCTATTATGGCCTGAATTTCATCAAGCTAGAAAGAACAGCCAAGAATGGCAGAAAATAATACAACACTACACGTTTTTCAGCACCTCTGCAGCACTATAATAATAAAGAGGGACCAAGTGCTATGTGTCTTTAATTATTTCCCAGGTAACTGATAGCAAGCTTAGAATTTTCTTTAGGCATACTTTAACTCAATTTAAAGATCCTGTTACCCAAGATTTAAACAGGTCAGGTCATGGGCAGGAGTTTATACACATCAGTATATATTATCTTACTTAAGAGTAAGACAAAAAACCTAAATAACTTAGTTTTAATAAGCTGATGGTAAGACTGAAATGAAACCCAAGGAAGTTGCTCATTAAACAACAGACCAAATACAAAACAACCCCATCAGTGACAGCTTAATTTTTCAATGATTTACTTAATTTTACTTCTGCAACTACCACAGAGCTGGGCAGAAGTATTTCAGATTTCAAACACACACAACCACAGGTTTTGCCTTTCAATAGTTCAATCTACAATTACTATTTGATTCTCATACTTATGATCTAAAGATTTGACCAGCTTAACCTTTGCTTTGTCGTTGTAAAAAACCCAAATCACATTAATGTTTTCATTGCCTGAAAAACGCATACACTTAAAATTAAAGGTACTTAATTTTAAGGAAGCACCAGCTGAATTTTCAATGATCCTGTTGCAGCAATCATCTTACCAGATTTCATGACACCATTAAACCTCTTTGGCACACAATAAAAGATCAGGCCCATGGGCAGACTTTCCTCATTGTCTTGCTATTTCCAAGGTGATCTGACCTGCTACATGGCTAACAGCTCTTCTTAGGGAGACTTTTCCAAATAGGAAGAACAAGATGGCATCAGAGCTGATCATCTCCCATCATTCCAGCCTACCAGCCTCCTTGGTTCACCCATCCTTCTCCAAGAATACCAACTCAGTGACCCTAAAAAGTTTAGCAAAGCTTTCCCCCAGCTCTTCTCTGGAAAGCAAGGGCATTAATACCCAAGTAAAGACAAAAGAAGGAATTTACTTGACTAATTGTCCACTCTGTGGTCCCCATTTAGCATACAGATAGCAACTGCTTCAGAGCAAAGCAGAGAAGAGCAGCTAGATGAGAACAGAGACACTGCAGAACGGGGGGGTTACAAAAGGGAGTACACCAGGCTAGGTACTGAACTCAGCCCAGGGCACACGAACTATCCAGCATCTACAATTGCAATTCTCTCAGCCCTGTTGGTCAACTGCTCACCACTTTCTGAACTCCAACTCTGATTATCTCCACCTTTGCTAATTGCCCTTTCAAGGGACTAACCAGGCCAGTACCAAGTTCCTTAAGCTCATACAACCACACACTGGTGGTGGCAGGCTGTAGCAAAACTCAGCAGTTCACCACAGGAGCACTTAATGGGAAGTTTTATCACTTGAAGCATATTCTATTTGCATGAACCCATTAGCTTAACAGAGAAAATGCTGCCAGCATCAAGCAGTTCACTAACTAGCAGGGAGTTCTCAAGTACATCATGACAGTAACCCCAGTGGTGTCATAATTCTTTGACCACGCCACATTCTTAATGATACCTGTCAATATTTTGACAATGAAGTTAAAGCGTAACAGCATAAGCAACAGGACAATAAAACATTTGTTGTCATCATCAGAAATCCTAAGGGAAAATGTAGATTCCCCAAGATACACAACAAAACCCTTACTTCATACAAGGTCATATTCTCTGAACAAGTGTGCCACATTTCTTCATGTGGATGCCTTCAAAAGGAATCTGTATTTAAGTTCACTAATCATTTGCCATTTTCTCCCTATTGGCTGTGGATTTCTGCAATATCTGAAAGCACAGTGGTTTTCCAGACTCCCATTGTAAGAAAAATTCAATAGGTTTACTTACGCATTAGGTTGTAAATGTGCTTTTCTGCAACATGTTCCGTAAACAGCTTTATAAGGTCATCTTTTAAGTCTCTGTTAAGCTTGGTTTCTATGTAAAATTTATTCTGGAAAATAAGACAGAAGTTTTCAAGTTTGTTTTTCATAATAGCAAATAAAGTACATTTACTTATCCCTAAATAAAAACAGTTCAAGAATTTAAAGCTGCAGAATATCTGACCTGTAAATTCACCTGCTTCCTTGGTGACTGTATTTATACTAAATAGAACATTCCTGTACAATAAAAAAACCCAGGTATTTAAAATTAAGAATGCAAGTGGCACTACTGATAACAAACCTACTTACAGATAGGGATGCTTTTCCCCCACTCCCTGTATCTGCAGCTGTATCTACATACTGATACAGACTGGGGAGTTTGTAGGAAAATACGCTTCATTTTAGAACTTCATAAATGCTCTAACTCCAAAATAGGGCTGGACATAATGTTTGCAACAAAGCAAAGCATTTTTACCAATGTCTAAAAGCAAGTAAGCCATTAAGATAGGTATGTTACAATAATAAATCATCAGTAGAACTATCTACTTCTGTGGTTCATCATTACTCCCAGAGGATGGCTGGTCAGAATTAATCAACTGTGGCAATAAGCAATATATACAAATCTATACAAAACTGAGCCACATTGCCATTTTTAGGATTCAATTATCTCAATCCACTCAGTATTAATAATAAATTCACCCCTTCAACCTTCAAAGGAAATTCTATTCATGAGTTCCTTGAGGACCTCTAAACCTAATGTAGTATTTGGTGTTATTCCTCAGTTCCCAGCCTGCAATTAAGAGTAAGATTTCTTGTCTGTTATATTATTCATAGGTGGGTTTTAAATGCTGGAAAAAGTAACTGTTTCAAGATAAATCTTCTACTGTCACAATACTAATGTGGAAGTAGAACAACTGAATTCATCTGGACAACTTGTGTAAAAGAGTTAAATAGATACCATAATAGAAAATAAACTTAATAAAAAATAATGTACTGAAACACTTATCCAAAAGATTTACTAGAGGAGAGGATCTCTTAAGAGAGAAAGATTTTTCCACGCTTTAAATCAAGTTGTTTTCCTGTTCACTTAAGCATTTAGCATAATTGAAACAAGCCCTTGGAAGACTATTAGAGCAATCTTGATCTATTTTTGTGAAACCCATTTTCTTGGTCATTACCAAAACTATACACATAGCATAAACTGACCATGCAGAAATCACTTACGTTTTCAAGGCAAGTATTCAGCAGCATTTACCTTTAATGAAAATTGGACCTATTGGAACAAAAGCAATCTGAGGGCTGAAATCTGCCCCTATTGAGGTTTAGGTTTGTTGCAGTAATGGACAACAGCCTTCTTATGATTTTTTCTAAATATAGTAACTTCCTACTGACAGTTCCCTCCCTACCTGCAGAGGTGTTTTCAAGGCCTATTACTCAGTTGTTTCCCACCTCACTTTGACCTGTTCTTTGAACAGAGGTTGAGGGAAAGGCTCTGCAGAATAACCTCCCTTGTAAGAACAGACTAACTCAATCTGTAATATTTTTGGTGAATGGTGAATTGCCATTGCAAGAGAAATTCACAGCAAATGAAGATACACACCATAGGATCATAGAATAGTTAGGG